CTTTGATAAGCTCCTCCCACGATGGGTAGATCAGCCCATGCTTTCTCTTTTTTGGGGAAAAAAATACTATACCTGGACGGGCAAACATAAAATACATAGTTTGTACATGTATACATATATATATATATATGAACAAATAGATGTGTGCGTGTACGAGACAGAAATACACATTATACCCACTACCTCCAAACCACGAGTTTAACGGGTGCGCCCAAGTAACCCACGCAGTAAACTGAACCCCCGCAGAAAACTAGGCTTTCAGGGATTGTGGGATCTAGTACAGAAATTATCGGTTCAATCAGAGAACCTCTATATATCCTAGTACAACCGCAGCAGCAAGCCACAGCCTTCAACATCATCGAGAAGATCGCAGAGGTGCGCTTCACAATGTTTTATGACCGATTGCGGGCGCTTCGGTTCAGGGCTGCAATCCGGGATTTGCGTAGCAGCGATTTCAGCCGCCACCGCCCAAACTTAATTACTGATTTCTCGAATTGTTTCTTGTCGCATGTCTGCGCGACACCTCGGTTGTTCGAAGGTTGGTGCTGAGGCTTACTATGCTCATGATGGCGTGCCTCATCATACAAAATCGTTATATAGGCCCAGGGGCTTTTGAGCCATTTCATAGCGTCCTCTTCCCTGAACGTGTGGTGATGCCGAATATTGAACCCTCGGCAAGGCAATGAAACATCGTGTCGCACAATTGTGGTCGAATGCTTATGAGACTTCATACTTGCCACGGCACGGCGACTTCTGCAGTCGCGAAGTTGGTGTGCAAAAGCCTAAGATAAGAAATCCGAAATCCATGTTGGACTGTAATGCACAAATGTATTTAGGATCAATTTCTCGCAAACAAGAATCGTGCACCTTGGGTCGCACATGCCAATGAAGCTTTTCCATCCTTCGGGGACACTGTGACATAGATTGCGAGTACGAGCCCGTCAGTACATGAGGGAAGGAGCATATTCAACTGCAGTCCTCATACTCATTTTGCACAACATGACGTGGGCACGAAGATAGCGCATGCCGCAATCGTAAATGGTGTTTGCAGCTGTCTCCGTCCTGACCCCACACACACAAACTGGATTCCCAGCCCCAAATTCCTCCAGGCCTTAATCCCACGATAGGAATGGACTAAAGCCGAGCCACAGGTACATCGGATTCGCCTCCACTTCGTGGAACCATTCACAAAGCGACTGCCTTGGTGGGCTTGGGTTTATTAGCTTTGAGAATTACTGTCAAACAATGGGTCACATGACAGATAACTTTCGGGGTTGGCTCCAAGAAGCATAGCAAAGCAGATTAGCGGAAAGCGCGTGTCCGCATGAGGAGCATCATCAGGCCAGGGTTGCCCTTCTTCGTCATACTTCTTGCGTAGCCATTGTCCAACATTGCGAGAAGACACTGTGCTGTGCTTTGCGGCCAGTTCCAAACAGTTGCCAAGCCACATAGCGATTATTCGACCATTGAAGCCTTTATGGGCCATGTGTGCACCGTGCTTCTCAGGTTTCCAAACCTGGGGTCAGTATTCAACAAAACATGCACTTACATACTGCTGGGTCATGCTCCACTCTGCAACAATCCCGTCATGGATGCGACCCAAGGAACAAAGTTGGGAACAAATTTTTGTTGCGAGCACTTGAGCCCCCGTTCTCGTTGGAAGGTTTTGAAGTCCCGGAAGGCCACCACAAGTAGCTGGTGAAGAGAGTTGATGTCTGGATTGGGGTCTCCGAAGTAGCCATTCTCAATGAGGTACATCCTAAGCTTCGCATAATTTGGGGTTTAGGGTTTAGGGCGTTTAGGGGTTTAGAAATTTAGGATTTAGTCGCGACAAGTGAGACTTCAGATTACGATGAAGCCTGGAATCAAAGTTGAGCCTGTAGCGTCCTGGGCCAAACCCAGATTGATGTTATGAAGACTGCAATGGCATAGCATCGAGAAGTGGAACGACCGTAAGCCCAATAACGGACCTTTGTTGTTGGACTGCTTATATAATTGTTTCCGAATCCCATTCTACTTTCAACAACAAACTCGATGGTTGCCGCTCAGGCACATACATGATTATCCTGCATACCCTCCACGACAAACCGATTATGGGAAAGCTCTGTTGCCTGCCAAGACGGATTCTCGCTGACGTCGGTCATCGAGTGTGCAGCATCGGTGTGATTCTCAGCATCGCACCGCCAGCAAATAAATCTAGTTTTGTAGTACCTCTTCAACCGCCACGTTTGCCAATGATATTCCCAATCACCCTTGATTTGAGTGACACAGAACTTTCGATTCAAGTGTGCCCCGTCCCACGTAAAACCATCAAAGGCTTTGTTCAGTGACTTCACGACTGCCAAATATAGCGGGTTGTGACTCTTCCATCCCAAGCTACGCTCCCCATTCAAATTCCAGAGCAGGAATTGACTCATCCTGGTTGATTTAGGCCGCCACAATACCAGACTCAAGAAGCAACCCGTCACTTTGGATTGATCGAACCCTGTACCATAACGCGCTGTGTCCCCATAGATTGTAACCGGAATATGGGACCCGTCCAGATCCTCGTTTCTGGCCCAGGGCATGAACTCTTTGCAATGTTTCCAATATTGTGCTAAAACAGACTGCGGTATGTCGATGCCCACGGTGTCAAAAAGATAGGCCAGTATACGGTCCGGAAGTAGCACTGGCACTTTGACGGTAACCTCGTCCAAAGAGTCCTCTTTCTTCTTCAATGTAGTCTCTATGTACACAGGTTCCTGTTCAGGGAATGAACGAATAGAACACAAGCCTATATAATACGTAAGGGTCTAGGATTTACCCGTCTAGCCCTAGGACTAAGATCTAGTACCTACTTCTCAAACCGCTAATAGAACTTACTGTTGGATATCCCCCAGTATCCCCCACCACAGGCAACTTCACGGCCCGCTCAAAGTCCCGAGCATTGTTGCGACCACTGAAGGATCCAAGCTTGCGAAGCTGTCCTGGCACGAAACCAGAGGCGTCCTGGGCTGACTATGTTGGATTCGGGTTTGCAGGATTCTGCAAGAGCACAACGGTAGACTTTTGATTAGTGCCGTGGCACACGTAATGAAGACTTGGCGCTTCTCATCTCTCGATCGATAGAACTTGCCTTGGGATGGCATCAGGGTTTACGGTTTTAGGACTTCAGCGGGGTTTCAGCATTCGACTTAATAAGTTTCAGCGTCGGCAGAAGCCACATTGTCGATCATATCATCCACCATTTCGGAGTGTCGGGGTGCTGCTCTGGAAGGAGTACCTGCGGGGTTCCAAACCGCGTGAGGCTTCAGGCTACGAACAGGTCGCTGGGCAAGTCTCATCGATTAACGGGCGAAGCAACAGTCGCACTTGTTTCTAGGCCCGCCGTGACAGTCTGCACATCTAATGCACGCATGATGCTAAGGAATTCCCCTTCCCTGTCCATGCGAGCGAAGCACAAACTCTAAGCGGCTGGGTTCGTATGTGAGCTCGCTGCTCATCTAAAGGCCTTCATTGGGCCAAGCCAATGAAGATTCATCTAGAAACCTGAGCACATCATGCCTCCCACACGGAGACTCGCTTCTGCCCAAACGAGTGTAAAGTTATGTTAGGGAGGCCCCTAGATAAAAACATCAAGGATTATTCAGGCAGGGTTGTACTACTGGATAATATTGAGGCATGTAGCGGCACCGTGTTCCGGATGCACTCCGGCCTAGTCTTTCTTGCTACCGCCCTTAGCCTTTGGCCGCGGGGTCGTAGATATCGACAAAGAGTTCTGATCACGATCAATGACCGACTGGGCTGCATCAGTCTCGCTCAGCATCTTCTCGTCCTGAACAAGAGACTTATATGGCTGGGGCTTACACAGGAAACTTCTTAAGATTGAGAAATCTTAGCACGGGTTAGGGTTTAGGGGTTTATCGGGTTTAAGGGTTCGTATTGTGTTCCGGGGGTTGTCAGAATGGACCACATTCATATATTAGAGCCAGTCCTTCCCGCTGTCCAGAGCTGCCTGCAAAGCCGCCCGGGCGGAGGTCATCTCCGACAGAACATCATTCATATCCTGCTCGACCGCCTTGCGGAGGTTCTTGCTCCTCAGCCGATTTCGAATTTTCGGTTTGGGCTGGGCTTCGGGTTCGACTTTACAAGACTAGGCAGACTGCTGAAATACGTAAGCTCAGTCTGTCACAAACCAGCCAGATCAGCGAGCTTGGCTTTCTTCTCGCGAATCTTCCTGTTGAGGGTGTTGATGGCCTGGGATGCGAAGGGGTTAGTGAGGCTTTATAGGTGGGGGTGTCGTGTCGAGTGACAGACCCCCTTTTTCGGGCCCAAAACCCGGGTCTGTAGGGAGCCTTATAAATGAGAGGGGAGAGTGAGAGAGAGTGAGAGAAGGACAAAGAGAGAAAGACGGAGGGAGGGAGGTAGGCAGGGAGAGAGAGAGAGAGACGGGCTCCAATATGTAAACATTTTGTTTCGAGGGAGCGAGAGAGCGAGGAAAGGAGGAAAGCGAAAGAGATAGCGCATGAGTTGGGTGAGTGGTTGGTGACCGAGTGAGTGCATGAGTGAGTGATTGAGCGAGTGGGTGGATGAGTGAATGAGTTAGTGGCGAACGAGTGGATGAGTGAATAGGCATGGATGTACAATTTAGTCACTAAGTCATAAGTGTGCATTTGGATTTGCGTGCATGTTCAACCTATGAACGAAACAAGTAAAACTTTGGGGGTGGGGGGCGTTGCCTTCTTCGCCTCCTGTTCAGCTTTCTTCTTCCTTTCTTTCGCTTCCTTGTCCTCAGCACTATCCTCATTCTTTCCCTTGTTCTTCTTGCTTCGTCTCTTCTTGCCTTTGCCCTCACGATTAAGATTGTTAAGTACATGTGCACATGTAGTGTAGCATGACAAAAGCCGTAGAGGCACATATCACGAAACCAACAAACACAGCCACCCACACACATAAAGATTCATGTGCACAAAGACACTAGTGGGGGATCGCCTTTTTTTTCTTCGTCTTGTCCTTGGCCTTCTTAGCCTTCTTATCCTTCTTATCCTTCTTATCCTTCTTATCCTTCTTAGCATCGCGGTCGCTGCTCTCATCATCCTCGCTGCTGTCACTCTCCTCCTCTGAATCTCCTGAATCCTGCCTCTCCTCAGCTTGGAACAAGTCGGAGATCTCGTCGACAAATTCCCCAGCCTCTTCATCTTCCACCAAAACGAGATACTGGAGAAGTCCTTTCATGGTGCAAGACACATTGGTCTCGGATTGTTTACCCCCTCCCCCAAGCCTGGAAGCTCCGGGTGGTGGCGGATTTCCTTTGCCCGGAGCTCATCGTCCATTTCCTTTCTCAGTATGATCGATTTGACGACCTCCGGGTCGCCGAAGAGCGTGAGCATCTGCGGCTCCGTGACCCAACGTCTCACTCCGCGGCGGGTGTGGCGCGCTGAGGATCTGATCGTCCTGAGGACTAAGCTCTTTGACCAATTCCCCTTGCACTGGTAAAAGTCATCATAGAGCGCGGACATCTTTTCTTTGCCTTGCATACATGTCTGTGTACCAAAGCTGACATGTGAACGTGTGTGCGTGACATGTGCAAAGAAATGCTTCTGCCACAGCACAGTACTTCGATGCTTCGTAGGCGCGCTTTATCTCTTTGGGCGTATCCCGGCCTAAATCGAACGAGGCAGTGAAGTCGCTGGGGCTTGAGCTCCATGTGTTTTGATGCAATGATATATTATTCTGAGGTTGCGGCCGTGCACACGGCGCCAAAACCGCATGTACAGCTTGTGTGCCTGCTTCTTCCTGTCGTCCTCCTCCTCCTCTGCCTCCTCATCCTTTGGCTTTGGCACAACTGAACCCTGGCGGTCCTCGGTGTTCTTCTTGCCTCCACGTGGGCTGCGTTCCTCCTTGCCTGTGCCCTTGGATTTCCGCGGCGATGTCTCCTTGCTGCTCCTTGCGGTGGCGTGGTCGTTCTTTGCCTTGTCATCATCTTCCTCCTCCGATGCCACGTTGTGCTTTGTGTTGCTGCTGTTGTTGGGCTTGCTTGTCTTGGCCTTAGCCTTGGGTTTTGCGATGCTCGTCACGATTTTCGGGGAGGCTTTTGCCTTTGCAGAAAGCTTTGGCTGAGTTTCGGGATCGGCCTTGTTGTTCTCTGGCTTTGGCTTGCTGGCTGTCTTCGGCTGTTTCGTGGTCGAGTCCTTGGCCTCATTGAAATCATGTTCCAATTGTCGCTGAACCTTCTGGGCTTTCTGCTTCCGTTCGCCGGTGTTTTCCAAGTCTGTGGTCTGGGGTCGGCGCAGTGCTGCTTGCACTTTCTGGGGAAGCTTGGAGCCGGAGCTGTCGTCGAAAGAGTTGCTGCGCCTCTTCGGGGGCGGTGTCTCAAGGACGATTGTTGCGCAGGAGTCGGTGCGAAGTGGCCGTTTGCCTGCAAGGCCTTTTTGAAAGACTGTCTTGCCTGGTGGGGTGGTGCCAGCTTTGCTTTCCTTCGGTGGTTTCAAAGACCTTAGGGATTGAAGTCGTGTGCATGCATAAATCAGAGCCCACACTGCCACAAGTACAGGATTGCATATGTATTTGAATCACACAGGACCCAGCTCGGTGGTAGAGGAACCCGGGGAGAACGCGGCACCGTCTTCCTTTACACCCTTGGCGGCTCTGGCCGCTCTGGCACGGGCCTTTTTCAACACTTCTTCCACATCACAACTGACTGCCATGGACCTGAACCAGCACTACCGTGCGAGCACGACCCTTCCAAAGCCTTGGCTTGATCCTGATGGATGCACCATGCACACACACGTGATGTCGCAAGCCGCTTCACAGCTGCGCGCCGGCACTTAAAGACACACGTAGTTTCTAGTGATTTTAGAGGCACACGGTATCACAGTTATTCGGGGGGGTTTCACAGTTATCACGGTGGGTTTCACGCTAGTTTCACGCTAGTTTCACGCTGTTTTCACGCTCGTGTGTTTTTACGTTGTCTTAAGTATTTTTTGTTGCCTTTGAAATAGTTTTGCTGGATAATGAAAGTGCATAGCTGGTTTTCTCTCCGCGCGATCGCCCCTTTGCCGCGAAGATTCTTCGATCTACGATATTCAGCAGGTACACAAAGCCTGCACAGCCACTCTCCTGACTCTCTCTCGTTGCTTAATGCTCTTGCCTTACATCATCTAAATGACTGCTGTTTGCTGCACAAAATAGCTATGCTGGAGGAGGCCTTCAAGGAAACTGAAACATCGGCCGATATCGGCCAGCAGCAATCTCTTCAGAGAGAAAAGCAGCTACAGGGCCTAGGTTGGCGTGCTTCCAGTCATACGGTGGCTCCATAGGCGACTTCCTTTCACCAGCCTAGGGTGCCAACATAAGAGAACCCCGTATCACACGAAAGATTCTAAGAGCGGGCCTCTGCCAAGTCCGCAACGGCCGGTCGCAGAAAGCATCTCTGGGTGGCCTGGGGGAATAATCTGTTAAGTTTAATTGCGGGACTAGGGTTCCAATCAATTGGGGGACGGGCAATGAAGTTCGTGTGATGCTGGGCTATAGCACGACCAAAGTCAGCCGGGTAAGTCTGGGTCTGCTTGAGCTTGGGCCCTCCTGTCCTCAGAAGAAAGAAGACACAAACATGTATTTCACCAAACGACTGAAGTCCATGTTATACAATCGCGAGAGAAGACAGACACATTCTGACTAGGATTCGGGCACTAGTTCCCGGCCAGCTCCTTTGTCAAACCTCCGCTTGACAACCCCTTTGGAGCAAAGGCCAAGATCCTTCTTCATGGCCCGCGTGAGCTTCTTGTACATCTTGGACAGCCAAGGCCTGCAGCCGCAATATGTTGGTAAGCAAGCTTTGGCAACGGTATTTAGTAGGAGCTACTAAGGTTCATGCGGGGTTCCCACCAGCATCGTCGGCTTGACTGTATAGTGCCCGTAGGCTCCCATGGAACTTGGCAGGGCATGTGACGAGTGGCAGATAATGTAGCAAAACCGCGGCAACATATTGTAGAAGTACATACTGCAATAAGGCTGGGACAACCTGACGATTGCAATGGGGATGTAATGCTTCAACATCTCGCGGATGTAGACCATATAAGGGAGATTCGGGAACAGTGAAGATGAGGGTTGTTCGATGTACCAGTGCACCGACCGCATCGAGGCTAGGACGCACAACAGGAGAGTGCGAGTCGCTAACCTGGGCAGAGATATTCGAGGTTTAGGGAGTTTAGGGTCTAGGGTTTGTTTGTCGAGGGGACTTCAGGTTTAGGGCCTAGGCTTTCGGGGCTTAGGGTTTAAGGCTAGAGTTTTGGGGCTTAGGGTTTAGGCCTTATCGTTTTGCCGCGGTATAGCACATTTGGGGATAGGGTTGGGCTTTGATAGAGACTTTTGGGATTGCTTGGTTGCCGACGGGTTACCGAGGTTCGGCACTAATCTACTAGTGCTACCGAAGGACACATTTGCCTCCTTCACGTATTTGTACTTGATGGTACCGAAGATCCGGCGTAGCGATCGTCCCGAAGTCTTACGGTTCATCCAGACCCAGCTCCCGCAGGGAAGCCCAGCTGCTAGAAGACCCTTGGGGGCAAGCCTGAGCACCTTCGCCATCGCCCGTAGCAGTCCCAACCTGAGATAGACTGAGACACAATTAGACACAACAACACTATTAAATTACGGGGAAGCCTGCTAACCAGGGACCTGGCGTCGTCAGGAGGTTGTCGTCCTCTCTCGATCCCATATCGAAAAAGTCCCTAGGCAATATGCATCAGTGGACACTACTGTCGAAGAGGTTACAAAGTAAGACCGCGGCGATTTGCATCCCAAGTCGTCTTAGGAACACGGACACGAATAGAGGACCGCTTACTTGCTTGATTGTTCCATCTGAGATCCAGGCTAAACCCTGCTTCCACAGATCGTCGACCACCGAAGAGATCCAGACAGTACAAATCCTAAGCAACACTAACACAACATACTTCGCTAGCAAAAGTAATTTACATAGTCTCGTGAGACCGAGCACTGAGGGAAAGACACGGGAGTCGTTCGGTTCCTCTGCATTTTGCGCGATATAGTCGGCAAGGTGTAGCCTGCACCCAGGGCATTATGGGTTGAGGGCGTGGAGTTCAGGAATCACTTACAAACCCCTAAACCCCTAAACCCCTAAACCCTACCCCTAAACCCTAAACCCCTGATTTCATGCATTCGAGTAGCAGGATACTTGGGAAGCCCATGTAAAGCAAGGCCAGCCAAGTGTCACGTGTCACCGCGACTTCTTGCTGCATCCAAAACATATTGGCTAGATCACACAAAACCAGCACTCACGAACCCTGTGGAGCCACAAGGCCTAGCCACCAAGCATCTCAGCACTCTCATGAACAGAAGCATGCACTGTCCTGCTCGAGATTCCCACCTGTTGCACAAATGCGGCAGCACTTTTGCTAGAGCTGCTAGGTCCACAAAGCATTGGTCAGGAAGTGCAATCTATCTTCGGAAGCAGATCTAGTCCCAGCCAGCAGCAACACAGGCAGCATTCCACCTAGGCAGCGTCCAAACAGGCACGGAAAGCTAGACTCGACTCCTCAATTTCAACATCATCCGTGGGAACTTCTGGGCTGCAGGCGCAGTCTGGAGATCTTCGAAGTTTTGCCAGCCCAGGGTGAGGCCCTGTTTTGCATTGACCTAGGTTTATGAAGGGTTATTGGACTCTAAGGTTTGGGCTGGGGATTTGTAGGTCGGGGGCTTCACACTCCATGTTGAACTTCTTGTTCATCTTTGCCGTTCGCTCCGGGGTTGCCTTGTTCACGTAGAAGCATCCATTGTACGGCCCGAACCTGAGCGAGGGTTGTATTATTTGGGGGTGTGCTCTGCTCTTCCAGAAGGCTGTTCCTAGTAAGGCTTCGGCACGATTCCGATGGGAGATGGTTTGCCCTCGCTTCGAAGAGTCCAGGACCTAGCACTCGACTCGAACTAAATTGTTTCGAAGGATGATCATTGATGATAAGTTCGGGCTGCCACCCCTTGAGCCCTTCGATAACGTCGAGATTCAGCTTCATACGTGGATCCTTTTTGGCCAGAGCTCGAAACTCTGGAACCCATCTGCTCTTGACCTGCGACGAGGAAACTGCATGTATGTAGCGACAAATCAAGAACCTTTATTGGTGTATTGGCATAGTGTGTATGCTTGGGAACCTTGGCTCGCGGGTCTTTGGCTGCTGGTTTCTTTTTTGGCTCCTGGAAGCAGTGTGCAAAAGGTAGGCAAAAGTGTGTGAACGTAATAGAGGTGCACCCTAAAAAACCGCTCGCATGCCGCCCCTCCTCTTCATCATCTTCCTGCCCCTCCTCTTCATTCTCCTCCTGCCCTTCCTCTTCATCATCCTCTTGCCCTTTATTATCCTCCTCTCCTTTCTCTTCATCATCCTCCTGCCCTTCCTCTTCATTATCCTCCTGCCCCTCCTCTTCATTTTCCTCTTGCCCTTCCGTTCCTTCACCGCCCTCCTCTTCAGGGTCCTCCTGCTCACGATCCTTCTTTTGGGCTTTCTTTTTCGGGGCTCCCTTCGGCTGCTTAGCAGCTGGGCGCTTCATGGGGGGGGGGATCCCGTGACTGTGCTCGCCCCCGGCCTCTGCTTCCTCGCCCTCGCCCTCGCCCCCGCCCTCGCCCCCTGCTGCTCTTGGGTGCAGCCGAGTCCTCTGACTCCGGATCATCATCATTGCCGGCCTTGCCTCTCTCGCGAAGGGCTTTGCGTGCTTTTTGCTGGGCCTAGCATGAATGAAAGCCAAGAAGCACAAAAGGTTGGAGGACAAGTGCAAAGCTAGCACTACTAGACTGCTGGTATTTAGCCTGCACAGCCAAATTCGGATCCTCTGCTTCATGCTCCTTTAAGAGCTTCTGGGCTTTCAAGATCGATTTCTTCGGCAAGGAAGGCACCGATGCCGTCTTCGGCTTCTCATCCTATGCAAATGTTGCAAAACAAAGCAGTTTCATCAACCGAAGCCGGTTACAAGTAGCCTTTACTCGATCAGTCCTTGAATGTACCACTTTTTTTAGCAGCTTCATCGTCGGATTCAATATCTTCTCCAGGAACACAGTCATCAACTTCTTGAGGGAACTCCTCTTCCCCACCTTCTCCTTCCCCAGCCTGGTCGCAGGCGTCGGCGTCGGCCGCCTGGTGCAGCAGCAGCAGCAGCAGCAGCCAACACTCCCAGGGTTCACGATAACTATCTCGGTTTTGAGCTTCTCAGATCTTCAACTTATTCCCAAATTTCCAAGTCCCGAGCCCAAATTCCCAAAACCCGCAACCCTGAACCTAAAAGTCCTACTACCGCCTGACTAAGCAGCCGGCACACGACATGGTGGTAGTAGCGGGGCTAGGAGTAGAAGGAGGAGAAGTAGGAGTCGTAGTGCTAAGATTGAGAATTGTTTAGAGAATATAATCGCAAAAGTGAAGGTGTCCAAATGAAATCGGAAAGCCTCAACCCTACTAATGCCTAATGTATAAAGCACAAGGCTTGAGAAAGATTGGCAAAGCCAAGCTCTATATCTAGTTATGGGCCTTAAATCGCAGAACCCTAAGCCAATCCTTTGGGTTTTGGTGCTTCATGGGCTTAGGGCTTATCGGGGTCAATTTAGGGAATTCGAACTTATCTTGGGAGTTTGGGCAGTCTTTGGCGGTCTTCGGGAGTCGGACTTGTGGTCTTAGGGCCGACGGTTGAAAGTGTTCGGTCTCAGATCGGGTCGGGTTTGGGCGGAGTCAAACTCTGTTTGTAACAGTTTTGCAACAATCAAGAAGCACTGTTAAAGGTCTTTCTCCTTCAACATACAAGCTTTCTTATGAACTTGTAAAGTCTGTCGGCACATGGTGCCCCAAAACCTAAATACCTGAATATATAATGCTTAGCTTAGTACTACTACCCTTTTGACTTTCAGTTCTTGCCTTCTTGGTGCAGAGATGACTGGAAATAGAATTAATGGGATCCGTAGGATTCAAGGAGTTGAAGCCAAAATTGTATTTCAAACATGAGTACCAATCCCCCAGCATAACCCCAAACCGTTTCAACCAGAAGAAACTGGAACTTATCCCCAGCGACCTCCATTTCTGCATCTGCGCTCTTCTCCGTCGCAGACTCCTGCGGGATGATTTTGGTTGGTCAGTTGCTAACATAAATTCGGGAGTCCTGTTTCTTCGCCTGGATAACTTGCTTCAGCTTGGCGAACTTCTCATGGTTGGGGCCTTTCCTGGCCGGCACAAGTGGAAAATCCATTATATAAGGGTTACTAGATGAATCGCCTGGTTGTCTTGTTACGCTGCGCACGGTCGCAGGCCCAGGAAGCGTAGGACCGAAGAACTCCAGCTTCTTCCTCGGCCCATTCCTGGGATCGCTTTTGTGAATAAAGGCTTATAGCGGTCGGTTCGAACAGGGTTCTCAGGTTGCGACATCCAATTCATCTTTCGACAATTGTTTTGCATGGAGGCGGAAGTGAGAACTGCTCCAAGATATCGCAGCCTTTCGAGGAAAGTCACATAATCACAAACACATCGGGTATATGATTCACAGGCCTCCGTTTCTTTCTTCGTTGGCAAGTCACCAGCGAAAGTGGCACAATAATTCAAGAGGACGGGATAATTGTGGTCGCTGCAAACCTGGACCGGAAGTCAAGAAAACCAAGGAACCTCGAGATCATATCAAACAAGACTTGCTCCAGCCTGCGCTTCGGAGATCGATTTCGACTCCACATCGAGGAATCGGAAACGGAAACTGACCTCGGAAACCAGAATAGTGGCTCGAAGGCTTAGCTTCAGAGTCTCCCTGCCTCAGCACCATCCTGTTTGGAAGCCTTTGCGAGCCTTCGTCTCAGCTCTTCAATACGCTGGTTCACGTATCCCGGCATGAGGAGGTCTTTCAGAAACTCCTGTCCCCGCAGAGCTCAGAAATGAAAGAACCGACAAGGTATCCCTGTGTCCTGCAGTAGTGCGAGGCGTGCCGGATTCGGTTTGCTGTCGGGCATGGCTCATCAGGAAAAAAACTGCTCTATGATACTTTCATGCGGACTCTAGCAGCTCCTTGTGATCCTAGTACCTTGATGGCCAGCAGGTCGCAAAACGATTGGAGTTTGAAGCTCTCACAATTCATGATATCAAGCCCTTCCATGCGATGCGGTGGACACAAGCACCTCTGTCCATCTCCCCGAGTTCATCCAGACCTAGGGAAGCTCAACAGGAATATTTGCGGGAAGTGTTTCGAGGAAACACGCTGAAACACACAATTGGATTTCAGCTTCAAACGAGCTGAGAAGGCTTTCCGGGCGAAGGTATAAGGCATCGCAGACACCTCATTCCAGAACCACAGTTCTTGAATCGGAAATGATTTCATCACTCCTCTGAGAAGCGTGCCCAAAGAAGCAGCAGGAGCGCTGAGATCGAGAGAGACATGACTTATGTCCAAAAGCTGTGCATCATATGGCTTTCTTTGGTGCAATTAGATTTGATTTTTCGTTGCCATAAATCTCATGCAGCTTTATGTTGGAGCTCTGCGAGATTCCTGGATCCATTCGGGCATCAAGCATCTGGCCGAAATCTCGAGCATCTCAGAAGCCACGCAACAAACTGCCGAATCCAGAACCCACAAGTTAAACGGGTGCGGGGAAGTAGAGGGTATATATATATATATATAGTGTGGGTGTGTCATACTAAGACGAATGATTCTAATATGCGTATGTGTGTACATGTATGCTAATATGTACATACCTGGTACCTGTGTACCAGAGTCTAGATCTATGCATATATGTATGTACTTATGTAAGTAAGTAAGTATGTGTGTACGTATCCAACGTATG